CTGCAGCATGAATCCACCTCACATCTCACCTTTAGGCAATTCCCTAACACAACACTGCCTGTATCTCCAAGCTACAGATCAAACTTGATTAGATCTGAAGCTGAGCAATCCCCTTACAGTGGATGCCCAACACAAAACAAATGCAGCCAGGCAAATTAATGCTGCCCAAGCTGAAGCCTTGAGAATTCTCAGTTCACAGCTACTCTGTTTTTTAAAGACTTGATAAATTTCAGCATTCAAATTCACAATATCATGTGAGAGTCATCAGAGAACCATAACATAAGAACAGGTAAACATCAGAGGACTACAATATAAACTGTGGATCATCACAGGGGAATAGTGATTGTGATATTTGAATGGTCATTTATTCAACTTAGTTATGGCTGCATCTGCCTTCCATTCTCCATGAAGCAATGGGGGCACACTGCTAAGAGCTATACTCAAGCCTCTTCCCCCAAAAGCTACACAAGCTCTCACAAGCAAGAATGGGGAAGTGGTACACAAGAACTGGAACCATTCCAAAACTGGAAAGGGATCAGTTTCTGAAGATGCAGAAACCAGACCAGCCTTCTGCTTCTGCAAACAAGGGGGAAGATTTTCTGAATTCATGTCTGAGAAAACACAGCTGTGAACACTCTGCTGCTGTTTGCTTCTCCTTGGAGCTCTAGCAAAGAAGGCAAAGTCTTCTTCCTACAAATTCCTGTTTTTCCACTGATGAAAGGTTTGCAGTCCAAATCCAATGCTTCAAAGGAGTAGAATACCCTGTACTTAGAGCCTGGGAAGCCTTTAAAACACACAGTACCCTGATTCATGCTTCCCACACGTACACCATTGCAGCATGTCAGACAGAGGCCAAGGAGCTTCTCAGTTGTACAGAAAGCTGCACCTGGTAGCAAGCTTCTGAGCAGCTGCAGTGTGTCACTTGCACACGAGAGCAGTTGTCACTTCAGCCAGGCAGCAAGTTATTTGTTGAAGCAGACACTTGATCCTTCAGTTGGCCACCAGAGGGGAAATGCACTCAGAGCTGGCAGGCTTCATGCCCCTCCCACAGGAACAACTGCAGCACTTGAGCCCTTTCCCTGCACGCTCCGCAGGTGGGCTCAGGGAGAGGGCAGAGTGAGCCATGTGGAACTCCTCAGCAGAGGGACTACCCCAGGGAGCCAACACCATCCCTCTCCAGTTTCAACAGCAAGCTGAGACAGGACATCTCATTGCTGTGCTGGGGAGTACCCCAGGTTATCTCTACTGTCACCCCTGTTCTTTGCTAGCAGACTGTTCTCCCACCCCTCACACTGGCACTTGCCTTGCAGCTCAACTCTAACCTACCAGTGTTCCAGAACTCCACAGCTACTTCAGCTGTTTGCCAGCCTCACTCCTCTCTCACCAGCTGCCCTGTGTTGGCAGGGAGGCAGGACTGTCACTTCAAACTCTCCTTAGCAGTGCAAGTTCCAGTGCTGCTACTCATCTCCACAGCAGACAGCCAGATATCAGAGTTTGTTCTGGCTCAAGAGACTTGACAAAACACAGACACTGGAGGAATGCAGCTGCTCAAGGGTAAATCTTTGCTCTGCAGAAACCCTAAAGAAGCCTGTGCTACAGTGGGGGTAGCACAGAGCTGGATAATCACTGCAGCATGACCAGAGGAAGACAAGATGATGTAGGTGAGATGAATCATCTCTGTGTCACACCTCTTGTAGCCTGAAAGATTAAGCAAGGGACCACCTAAGAGTGGAAGAGGTCAGCCTGAAAGACAGGGAACAAGATTATACAGTTAACACCTACACCATGAGACGAGGGGCCACTTGAAGACTTCAAAGACTACACGTTGCTCAGGGGAAGTGAAATACATCTGTCTGTTCTGTGTAGAGCAGACCCCATCCTCAAGTCTGTAGCAACACTACACCCTTGTGCCTCAACCAGAATTTGAGAGGTCAGCTTGGGAAATTCAGTGCTGCAGCTTAAACAGGTGTCAGAGTTTAAGCAAACAGTGCCTCTGTGAAGGTGTTAGAACTCAAAAGAAGTTTTCTTCAGTTAGGGCAGGACACAGTTGGTTTTGACAAGGCACAGACTTTCACCACACTGTTGACAGGACAGATACTATTTTTCCCCTACATAAGACAGTATTTCCCAACTGCCAGTTCTACCAAACTCACAACCCACCCCAGGTCAGCCCTGCAGGAGACAGTGGTCCTTGTGAGGCTCTGGCAGTCTTAGAGGCTAGTCAGCTTAAAGAACATCAGAGTTCCACTACAGGTGACAAATGCACATCAGACAGCAGAGTGCCCCATCTCTTCCATCTTCCTTTGCCTCCCTGTAGCTCAGGTGGTGAATTTGGCAGCCAGGTTTTGCAAAGTCTGAGCAAGCTTTAAGGCCTCTGTCGTTAAATTTCTCTCATTTCATCCCCTTGAAGTCCCCCTGCAAAAAAAGAGTCCAATGCTTCTTCCTCAGCCTCCTGCACACTTCAAACCTATCAAAGAAATCTAGGGAAATTCTGTCAGGAAAACAAGGAGAAAACACCCCTACAGTAAACAGAACCTGGTAAGATTTTTGCCTTGGGGGAAATTTAAGATTCCACCATAAAAAGCTAGAGGAGTGTTTTGCAAGCCAGCTATCCACCTAACAAAGGAAGATCCAGCATATTGGCCACTACCTAAGAACTAATAAAATCCCTGAGGTTATAAAGACACCTGCTCCACAGAAGCAGCAGACAGACTTGTCAGGAACACAGAGGCCTGGCCAGGAGTGGGAGCGTACTCACCGCAGAACGCTTTTTGCCCCCATGCATTTGATGTCATAGGAGACAGAGTAGATCTCATAGAAAGTTGCCTTGATGTTTAAGCAGCCAATGAAATCCTTTGGGTTCAGCTTGTACAGATCAAAGGTGACATTGGCTACTCCCATCTTCTTCTTGCGCCTCACGGTGGCCACTCCATTTCTTGTCTGCTTTAGAGAAAGGGAGAGAGACAGTTGGTACCACGAGCAAACTACAGCAAGGCAATTATTACCCATGCAGCTCTTCAGAAGCAGCCTGGTTATTCCAGTCCTGGGACTAGTTTTCAATCAATTCTAAGGGCCACAAAGATGAGCAGTGGGCTAGGACACAAGGACAGGCTGAGAGAGTTGGGGTTGTTCAGCCTAGAGAAGGCTCCAGGACCACCTTATTGGGGCCTTTCAGTATCTAAAGGGGGCCTACAAGAAAGCTGGGGAGGGACTTGTTACAAGAGCTTGTAGTGATGAGAGGTAATAGCTTTAAACTGGAACAGGGTAGATCTAGATGAGAAATTAGGAAGAAGTTTTTCACAGTGAGGGTGGTGAGACACTGGCACAGGTTGCCCAGAAAGGTTGTAGATGCCCCATCCCTGGAAGCATTCAAAACCAGGTTGGATGGGGCTCTGAGCAACCTGCTCTAGTGGGAGGTGTCCCTGCCCATGGCAGAGGGGTTGTAACTAGATGCTCCTTAAGATTCCTTCCAACCCAACCCACTCTGGGATTCTATGATGAAAAGTATTAGCATGCAGAAAACCAAGCCTGTAGCTTACATAATTTTGTTCAATTCCTGACCAGGCTTCTGCAGCTATTCCAAACAGACACAGAAGTTCTAGAGTGACATAGTGTCTCCTGAATATTTATTTCCAGTAATACAGCTGCTTCTTCAGAGTATACTGAAGGCACAGGTAGTGATGTTGGACAGTGTTCCTGCCATTTAATTATCCCGGCATGTTCCAGCTGCCAGCTGAGGCAGCACAGTTAGTCCACACTGAAACAGGCCTCCAAACAACCAGAATGACATCAGGTCCACTTAGGAAGGACCACAATACTGCTGAGCACTCTTACAGATAGCTGCAAAGATGATGTGTGAAGAGCTAGGGTCTCATTTCAAATCCTGCCTCATAACACCTTTTTCTTCCTGCTAAAGCATCTGGAGGGAACCACTACTGATTAGGCCCAGGGTTTAATCACAGAATGGTTTGAAGACACCTCTAAAGTTCACCTAGTCTAACCCCCTTGGAGTGAGCAGGGACATCTGCAACAAGAGCAGGTTGCTCAGAGCCCCATCCAACCTGACCTCCTGACCTGGAATGATTCCAGGGATGAGGCTTCTACCACCTCTCTGGGCAATCTGGGACAGGGGCTCACCACTATCAGTGTCAAAAGTTTCCTCCTTCCATGTAGTTTAAATCTCCCCTCTTTTAGTTTAAAACCATCACCCCTTGTCCTGTCACAACAGACCCTGCCAAAAAGTCTGTCCCCAGCTTGCTGATAGGCCCCCTTTAAGCCCTGGCAGCCCCCAGCAGGTCTCCCCAGCTGGAGCCTTCTCCTCTCAGCTGCCCCAGCCCAACTCTCTCCTGCTGGGCTCCCAGCAGAGGGGTTCCCCCCTCGGGGCATTGCTGGGGCTCCTCTGGCCCCACTCCAGCAGGTCCCTGGCTCTGCTGTGCTGAGGACTCCAGAGCTGCCCCAGCACTGCAGGGGGGTCTCCCAGAGCTGGCAGAGGGGCAGGATCCCCTCCCTGCCCTGCTGCCCACACTGCTGGGGGGGCAGCCCAAGATATGGTTAATATTGAGTTTAAGACAAAAAGCAATGGGTAGGAGTATGGAAAGTCATCTTCCACCTTAAATCCAGCCTCCTTTATTGAAAGCAGCCCTTGTCTGCTTCAAGGCTGACACTGATGCTTTCAGGACTTGCACCAGGAATAAACAAACCAGAGAACAGGCAGACCCATATCTACAGAGACCTCTAGTGGATACTGTCCTCAGCACATTCCACTCCAGGTTAATGACTTGGCAGCTGCCCAGCTCCTCTTGGCACGCTAAGTGAAGCAATCAGGTTGGGTAAGACTGGGCCTCCTTTGTCCTGGGTCACCCCTTCACTCAGAGCTATCCTGCAGCAGACCAAGTCAAACCCTGCAGCACAGCACCAGCCAGCAATTTTATGCCCATTTTACCTTGATGGCCTCTAAGCTCCAGCAACAGGACCCCCTATCAACAGCAGCTTGGACACCTACCAGTAGCTGTTATGCTTGGCATTGGTGCCCAGAATGTTTGGATACAGCAGGATGGGGGCTTGTGCTACACTCCAGAGGATTTGTGAGGCTGCAGCAAGTCCTTCTGCTGTCAGTCAGCACATCCTGAAAAGGGGCAACGTTCAAACTTGTTCTTCTGCCATGCCAGGCAGGACATAGGGCAGCAGGGAGAGGAGTAAGGTGGAGTCATACCCAGGCTGCACATCTTCTGCTCCCCTGCAGCTTGTGGCCCAGATACAGCAGACTGAAAAGCCCATGAGGCATCTTTGGGCAAAAAAAGCACTGTGTGCTCACAGCCCAGAAGCCAACAGCACCCTAAAGCAACCTGCTCTAGTTGGAACTGCCCCTGCTCAGTGCAGGGGGGCTGGACTAGATGGCCTTCACAGGTCCCTTCCCACCCAAATTGTTCTATGATCCTGCAAAAAACGTACAAACTGCCCATAGTGCAACAGCAGGCTGAGAAACCAGGGCCCACACGAGCGAGGCATCTGTGTAGGAACAGAACATCAGGCCTGCTTACAGCTCCTCAGCCAGCTCTGCACCAGGCAGAGGTAACTGACATTAGCTTTCTAGCAACAACCATTTAGTGGAAAGACAATTAGGAGTTTGACTCTATCTTATTAATGTCCAGATGACTATTCCCCCACAAAACCACAAACTGGATGCAGAGCTGACATGATCAGAAGGCTAAAGCTAGCCAATCTTAATTGCTCTTCAGTACCTTGAAACATGCAGACTAACATTAAGTTTTGATGACAAGTTTGAGCTGTTTGCAGGATTAAACCCAGGCATTTTCCTAACCTTCACTAAACCATTACTCCATTTACAAGGCAAAATTTGTTTTACATTGCTTAATTTGTTATTTTTCTCTTCTCTAAAAGCTAACCTGTAAAGACATTGTACTTTTACCTGCATGCAGTCAAAGTCCTAATTTTCTTTATATTACAAGAAGGCTCAAGATTTCTTAGGCTTTTCAAAAGCAGGGGATTTCCCCTATAATTCTTTTCAGCTATAAGGTTTCATTTCAGCTCTTGGCAGATCTTTGCCAACAGTACTATGCCCAAGCAAGGGATAAAGCAAAAAATGAACTTGATTTGTCCTCCAGGAAAGCTCAACAAGGAGCTGATACTTTTGCATTCTTTAGGGGAAGTTTTCTTCCTCTTCTCCTATCTTGCTAACAATTTTAGCTGCCACAGACATTCTTCCGTCCCTTACTATTCAAGTGAGACTGGTCAGCACTTACTTGTGTCCATTTCTGTCCTTGTTCTAGAACCATGAAGTGTGTATTATCATCCAGGGACCTGAAGAACTCTTCTGTGTCCACGACCGTGCCATCTTCCTCCAACACCAGAGTGACTATTCCAGCAGATATAAGGAATGCATCTAAAGTCTGAAAAAAAGGAGTAGATTTTAACATTCAAAAAAGGGCCCACCACTTCATATTAAAACTTGCTGATAGAATCACAGAGTCATTCAGGTTGGAAAAGGCCTCTAAGACCACCAACCCCACACTACCACGACCACTAAACCACATCCCAAGTGACACATCCACATGTTTTCCAAGCCCCTCCAGGGACGGTGACTTCACCACCTCCCTGGGCAGTCATCTGAGATGCTCTCCTGAATTTCCCCAGTGATGATCTGCAGAAGAACAAAAGCCTGTGGGTTGCCTTTCTGGGATACTCCACTACAGAAGTGAAGTATCTTCAGCCAGAGAGGGGATGTTTGCTGTACCTTGCTGATGAGCTCTTGTAGGCTGCTTGCAACGATTCCCTTCCGGCTGCTCCGGGAGGCGTTGGACACACGGAAGGGTCTCCCTGCAGGCATGAGAGGAGGGAACAGGGTCTGTTTTGTTACTGCTCCCACAGACGCTCCCATGGATACCAAAGATCTAAGACAAATAAAAATTCAGTGTAGTTATAACAACAGTCACATCAAGTACTCTGAGAAGGTTGAGTTCAGTGATGTAAGCACCTGACAAGAGTAATTCACAGGTCACGTTGGAGTTTGCTTTCATAGCCCTACAGACATAACCTCTGAACCTTCTCTTGTCAGTGATAATGGAAAACAACTCTAAAATTAAAGACATTTCCAACAGATGTGGGCCACCTCTAGCTCAGCTGATGTCAAGTTCACTACCACAGTGGAGATGACAGGTTTTCCTACTGAATTGGAAAAGCAGCAGCTTTCACTGCATTCGGCCACTTAGATCGTGGTCTTTACCTGCAAGACAGACACTCAATGAGGTCACACACAAGACTAATTTCAACTAATTTAAGATATGAGTTTGCTTTAGGAAGACTGAACATAGAATCATAATGGCTGGAAAAGACATCTAAGATCACCAAGTCCAACCATCAACCCAGCACTACCATGACCACTAAACCATGTCCTCAAATGCCACATCCACACGTTTTTAGAACCCCTCCAGGGATGGTGACTCCACCACCTCCCTGGGCAGCCTGTTCCAGTGCATGACAACCCTTTTGGTAAGTAAATTTTTTCTCATATCCAACCTAAACCTCCCCTGGCACAATTTGAGGCTGTTTCTTCCTGCCCTATCACTTGTTACATGGGAGAACAGACTGAACCCCACCTTGCTACAACCTCCTAAACAAGGCCTCCCCTCAGCCCCCTCTTCTCCAGGCCCAACCCCCCCAGACCCCTCAGCTGCTCCTCACAAGCCATGTTCCCCAGAGCCCTCACCAGCTTCACTGCCCTTCTCTGGACCCACTCCAGCCCCTCAGGGTCTTTCTTTTCACGTGGGGGGTGTGTGTGAATAGTTATGCCTGACTTCCAAACAGCCAAAGCACTACCTTGTAAACAAATCCACAGCCTATCAAACTTCATCTGGTTTTGAAGGATCACAAAATAAGACTTGTTTGTGCCCTGATGTATCAAGCCAAGTCAGACAAAATGAAAAGGAAGTTCAAGGGACATAAATGCCTAGTGTTGGAGCATGCTGCCAGAGAGGCCAGGAGAATTCAAACACTTCTAGAAGAGGTGTTAAGTTTCCCTGGGTGATCCCATGTTTCAGTACCAACTGTTGAGGTTCCCTTAGCAAACTGAGCATGAACAGTGGCAACAGCCTGCTCCAACCTACACCTTTTCCTGCCAAATTACAGCCAGCTTCCCAAAAATCACCCTCTGCACGCCACCTGGAAAGGACTGATCTCCAACAAGTCTTTTAAAGGGAAGCAATATTTCTCCTCCCACATTCCTGGACTTTACCCCCTGGATACCTTTGCTCTGTAACACTGAATTGCACAGGGGTGGAAAAGGGAGATATCCCTGTTTTGTTCTCCCACACAGGTGTACAGTCAGCTTTCTGTAGGAAAACCTGTTCTCAGACACTTTCACAGAGGGGGAGGGAGTGAACTGGCAGTCTCTTTCTGCAGCCAGAGAGTGAATACAGGAAAACTCTTAGAACAAGGATATAGTATATAGTTACTCAACTAATAATGTCCTGTTCACACCTTTAATGCTACCCCACATTGGCCAGGGAGAATAACTATCTCTTCCAAACCTCTTTAAGCATAGAAAGGAATTTTTGTGACTGAGCAGGTAGTATTTCAGCAATGACTTTACCCCCTGCTCTCATTCTAACCACTCTTCTACAGGGCTTTGGACTATCACCCTTCCTCTGCAGATCAGAGTTTACCTCCCTCCAAAACTCCTCAGTACTACTGGATTATTTTTTTTTAAAAATGGATCAGGATGTTCAACAGTTTTATTCTAGCTCAAGCTAAAACCTTCCTGGTAGTGCTGTCTAGACACTGTGTCCCTGGCTTTCAGCAGCTTGCATATACACACATGGCTGGTGGAAATCTCCCTCCCTCCTGTAACAAGGCTGGTGAGGAGGAGCAGTCAGTCCTCAGGAGATGGGCACTGTTTCCAATTAAAGAGTAATAAGCACTTTCCTCCTGGAGAGGGGTCAAAACCAGGGAGGAGGACATGATGACAGAGTAGCACTGCCAAAGACCTTGAAGCTTCACAGAAAGGAAGGGTGCTAGGCCAGGGTGTGCTTGTTAATCTCTCCTGACTAAGACCCCAGTCACCCCGATGGCCCGTGGGCAGCTCCCATTCTGAATCACCCAGCTCTCCTCAGATAAGAAGCCTGCTTATCAGCTTTGGGGCTGGTGACTCCACAGGGCACCCTGATGTCAGAAAACAGCACTCAGGATTCAAGAGATGGTTTCAGATGCCTCCAGAGCCAGTTACACCCTGTTCCCACTCACGCATTTGAGAGCTAGCACACAGAATAGCTCCTGGAGTGGTATGTATGACAGCACTGCCAAGAGTTTTCATTTCTGGGAGGACAAAAAAATACCAGTCCTGTTTGAACAGTTTTCTTTCCTGTTCCTTAAGTGAAGCTGTCATTCACAGAAGACAAAGCATAAGGAAAAAAGCCAGAATGTACACCCTGATGCAGAAGGGAGAGTGTTAGGGGCACAGCTCACAGGGTTGACCCCAGGCATCAGCACAGCCATATTTTGCAGCTCTGAGCAGAAGTTTCTTCAGGATTCCAGATCAATCACCTCACACTGCTGCCTAGTTCTATCAGATGTAAAAAGTCAGAGAAACAAACCCCAGGATTTTCATTAGCTCCACCAGTCACTTGACAGGGATCCAAGTCTTAGGGAGTTATTAAACACTGGTGCCACTTCACCTACATTTCAATAAAACCAGTCAGTATCACCTTTAAACTGGGTTTGCTTATGAAGCAGTGAGCCTGGGCTCCAGTGCTGAGGTTTCAAGTTCACAAGAAGTTCTAGAAACAAAAGCCACTGTGATTTAAAAAAGTCAGAGCATGAACCTTCCATTTCTGGGCCCATTGCTGAAAGCTTGATTTTTCTTTGTTTTCCCTGACACACAAAAGGCCACAGACTCAAACCAGGCCAGCCTATACACAGGGCTCCTAACACGATCTGGTTTTGCTGCAGCTGTCCTCAGAAACCATACAAACCAATTCCTAAAGCAGGGAATTCCTCTGCTACATCTGAGTTACTGAAAATAATCTCCTATTATAAGCTGATCAGGCTAAATCAGGAAACAAGCAGCAGAGAGGAAAGAAACAAGGTGCAGTCAGCTTTATCAGAAAGATGAGTGACATGGCAGATACAGCCAACTCCACTATTGCTTTGTTACTCCTCAAAGTTAAAAGGATGAAGTCCTAGCTCTTCTCTAAAGGAGAGAGGGATCCTCTGTGAGAGGAAAACAAAAACAACTGGAAGAACAAATATCTTCAAACTCTATCATCTTATACAATTTGTTTTCTGTAACCACAGCCTGCTAAAGAGGAACGTGCAGATATTGGCCCAAGCATTCAGTGGAGTCTCCAGGCTGGTGGGACAGAAAAATTAATATTTTTTTTTTGAGGAAAGCCCACCAGTTAAAGTCCTGCCTTGAGCCCTGTACACACATTTCACCCTATCTCTGTTTGCAGTGTTCTTTGTATATTTGTCTAAGAATGTGGTGCAATGATTTTCAGCCACAGTCAGAAAAACCAATGTTGCACAACACAAGTGGCTTCAGAATGTGGCACAGTTTGACTTTTAGGTTAGAGTTCACAGACAGATGACAACAGCAGTAACAGCAAAGCCAAAAAAAGAGTCAGCAGTTAGTCAGGAACCCTGCTAAAACACGAGCTGTAGAGATCTCAGCACCACAGCTAGAAGTAGATGTATTTCTGAGTGGCATACAGAACTACACCTTTCTGGATGTGGTTAGCACACCTGAACTGTAAACAGAGGCCAGGAGTTGTGGTCACGTTGCCACTGAGCACAGCAGCTCCTGCCTACCCCAGGGCTCCACGCCTGCCACACAGGCTCTGGGCACACAGGATGGCAGCTTCACCACCACCGAGCACGGAGCGCATCCCAGCTGGCACTCCTCAGAAGAGAGTCCACACTGCAAAGCTCCTGCTTGCACTTCCCTCAGAAGAACTTCATCTGGAGCTCCAAAGGCTGCAGGAGCACGCCTGCTTGCTTCTCCAACCCAGTGTCCATCGGATTTAAGCTCCTTTTCCCTAAGCCCACCATGACTGGCCCTTATACTGTGCTTGGAAAGCACCTTTTGCCTCTAAAGAGCAGGAGCTGGCAAATGGAGTTAGTCAGACTTGGCTCTTCCTGGGCATCCCATTTTGGGTTGGAAGGGACCTTTAAAGGTCATCTAGTCCAACTACACTGCAGTAAGCAGGGACATCCCCAACTAGAGCAGGTTGCTCAGAGCCTCCTCCAACCTCACCTGGAATGTCTCCAGGTATGGGGCTTCTACCACCTCTCTGGGCAACCTTGTGAGGTTTAAACCAAGAAATTAAAAGATCAGGTGAAAAATGAGCCTTTAGGAGTTTTACTTCATCAGAAAGTTAAACTAAATGCAGTTCTT